TGAGGGGTTATTTAATTTAAAAACTAAGATATCACACTGGGCTTAGATGTACCAAAACAAAGAAAAGAGGCTCCTGTTATGTAAAAATAATCTTCCTTTTAAGTGCTTCTAATCCTTTTCTGGAATAAATCAAGAATGTGGATGAACCAATGAACGGCTGGCTGGCTAGAGGCATCCTCTTCAGTCTGATCATATCCAAACAAAAACCAAAATAGCACCACAGCAGGGACAGGTAGCCTCTCCACAATGACACAGAGTTGACTTTCTTCCCATTGTTTTAATTAATGATCCACATTGAGCCCAATCTACCAGAGGAAGAATCGCAACCCCTTCAGGTATTTTTACTTCCATTAATAAAACACAGAAAACAGGAGCCTTGAATGAGAGCCCTCCCTGGAGAGCAGGCAGCCCTTTAATGAATGGCCTCTTCAGCTGCTGGCTCACCCTCCTCACAGACTTTACAGCTCTTGCATGTGCTGGAATTACAAATCATCAAAAAGCCACTTTGAAAACACAATAAAGACCTTCTTCTCTGACTGCAACAACCCTCCATCACATAAAAACCTAAGGCCAGTGCTTCCAGCAGGACATTTACTGCCAGCTCCAGACAGTTTAGCAGGGCAATGAAGAGGGTGGGGCACGAGGAAATGAGGCGAGCAAAGGAGGGGTAGCTTCTTTTCTTTTTCTTTTCTCTTTTCAAACGAAACCTCTGCTAAGGTGGTTTGAAGTATTACTCCATGTCTGAACCACCATCCACCCCTGAGTAAAATGCTACTATATGATGAGAGTTTGGTTTTCTTTTTTCCTCTTCCTCAAGAAAATTCTTATCCAAGAAAACACTCTGCTAAGCCAAAATCATCAAAAGACATAGTGAAATGCCATTTCTCATACTGCAGGTTGAAGTAGCTAGCATTTTGACCACACTTAACCTACTCATTTACAAGAAAAGATACTTAAAACTTTGAACATTTTCACTGATAAACATGATTACTTCACAATAACACTAATTTTAAAAAAGGAATACTACCAAATGCCTGTTCCAAAGCAGTGTTTTTCTCCATCTCATTTAATTAAAGAACTAAAAGATCTTGAGGGAAATTCGGCTTACCTTGGGTTTAAAACTAAGACTTGCCCTATATTTTCCCTGTGACCATTTCACAAGTGCATAGTACTTACCAAGGCTATATACTTCCTTAGGAAAAATTCAGGGCAAAATGACATATTTCAAACACTTTTCCTCCACTTTAAGCATATAAACTTTCACATCTGAGAAAAGACAACTAAAGTTCTACAATGTTTTTGACTGCATAAAATCTCTTTTGTAACTACAGGCTATAAAGCTTCCCAGAAGCTAAGGCAGACATAACAGCACTAACACTTTTTTTGATCAGTGTATGTTTAGTGTGTTAACTGTATTACTGAGACTGACTTACTAATTTTCACCACAAATCTACAGAGTAGGTCCTGTTGTGATGTCCACTTTACAAAAGATGAAACTATGAAACAGAGAAGGTTAAACAGTTTGCCCAAGACCACTGGTAACACTGGGACACTAGGGGCTGACACAAGCTTGCAGACTCATTATGTATGTACTACTTATTAGGGAGTAAGTGAGCCGTGAAACACATGCATAATATAAGCTACGGATTTTCATCTTTACTTCTTTCTCTTGCACAAATAAAAACCTGAACTGAAAAAGAATCGTATGAATAAAAAAAGCTAAGCGCCCTAATCCATCTTAATAGTGCTAATTTTTATAAAAAATCTGAACCTAACTTGATTTCGGAAAAGATTCTTTACAATGTTCTTTTAAAAATAAAAAATATTCTTCCTTTTAATTTTAATCAACCTGTACTGAGACAACATGTTTTCTTTATAAGCATACCAAGGGAATGATCAGTTTCCCTAGCCTTTCTAATTCGTAGGGTCTTCTGACTTCTTTTTTGTACCTTGTTGTTGTTCCATTTCCAGAGACCGTGATCCGCCCTTTGTGACTCAAATTATCTACCACCCTATCCCCTACAAATGAACACAATCTGGCTCATATTCAAACAATGGGGCTGTTAAGGACTTTAGAGAAATTTGTTCTTCTAATCACGCCCATGGAAAGGCTAGTGTGCTCACACCCAGAACGGTGAAGGTGGGCTGCCTTATGCTACCAACTCAGTTGCTGGCCAAGACAGGGTCTGGGCTGTTTAGCACTGTCCATTACAGTTGCTTCCTGTTCTTTGCCTTCTCCACAGATGGGATGCTAGGTAGTAGGTAGTAGACAGGCTACACGAAGGCTATTTTTCTGGATAATGGAAATGTTAGCCCTCTCTTACCCTCTTTTGTTCACAGCAAGGCCTCTTAGACACATGGTTCATATAGTGCCACTTTTTCCAACTTACATTTAAATAATTAAACTAAAAGGAAAAACAATAAAAGCATTTATTACTAGAAGACATAAGAAAAATATAATACTTGGGTTTTATACCCAAACCATACCCCAAAGTCTTTAGATACTTTCTATGTCAAACTATGCAAAGCACATCATAAATATTCCTGTTATAATCACTGTATCTGTGACTCTAATATGTCATATCTTGAAAATTTACTGCCTGTTGTATGGAATCACATACCATTATAACTCTTTGTTCTAGAAGAGTTTTTAAGGTACTGTTTGGGTAAACATACTAAGTGAAATAATTTTATTAAAACAAATCCATACTTTATAAATCATATACAACAGAGAAGGAAAGCCAGGCGTGGTGTCGCACCCCTGTAATCCCAGCACTCAGGAGGCTGACGGAGGAGGATCATTGCAAGTTCGAGACCAGCCTGGGCTACAAAGTGAGCATAAGGCCAACTGCACAGTGAGACCCTGTCTCAAAAAGACAGAAAAAAAAAAAAAAAGAAAAAAAGAGAAGGAGCGAGCGACAAACGTAAGGAGAATAAACAGAATTAGCCAAGGAAGAAGACCATCTGGGATATATCCACATGGAAAGTGCATTTGCTGTATGAGTGTCATTTGGTCTTCCTACAAATGAGCAAACATTACAAAAAGGTACTTTTCAGCGTTCTGACCACTGTAAGAAACATGCACACACACTGAAAGGAAAATTTCAAAAACTACTACTTATACTAATTACAATGTATTCTGGTTTATAAATGGTGGTGATGACATGTTAAATTTATTTTGTGCCTCACCAGTGACTCACACTCAGCATTTGAAAACCTTTGTTCTAAGAGAATCACAACATGTCAGACTACAGAAAGACCAAGTTGCTAAACTTGACAATTTTGATAGATTAGTCACACTCCAGCACATTTCAGGGTGATCCAAAACAAAAGTCAAACACACAGAAAGTTCCAAGTAATATCTGCCATAAGAATAAATTTCAAATTAAAAGGAGAGGAAGGGAGCAACAAGGAAAATTAATAGTTGAGATACTGCAACAAACCCATTCAGCTGTCATCTCCCTTTCACAAACTATGACTACAGACCCTTTACTGAAAACTGAAACAAATGACCCAAACCCCAGTGTTTTTTGTCCCACTCTTCTCTTAAAACCTGACTTCTATCAGAAGTTAGAGATCAGCTATAGTGAGTAGGTGGTAAAGAGATGGTCTCTGGACCACTGGGGATTGGCATTAGTGCTGTTAGTGCCTGGCTCGGGCAGGCTTTCTACCTGGAACAATCTACACCCAGGCCAGGAAAAAGCCTCTCTCATTCTTTGCCAGAATTTAAATGAAGGATATCTGTAGGCAACCTCACGACACAAAAAGAAGAACATTCTAAAAGCTTTCAGCATATTTTAGGCAGACAATTTTTTTTTATCATTGTCTAAAAATACTGACACACCAAAGTTAGAATATTGATTATTGATAATTGAAGATGACCAAAATCAGAGAAAAAAAAAAATAAGGATGAGATAACTTCACAGCAGGTGGTGTTTATTTTTTAGAAAGAGTCAAGTTGGGTGTAGTGGTGCACAGCTACAGTATAGTCCCAACACTCAGGAGGCTGAGGAAGGAGACCTACTGCCAGTTTGGGGCCAGTCAGGGCTACAGAATCATTCCAAGGCCAATCTGAATCACATAGTGAGACCCTATCTTGAGAAAAAGAAAGAAAGAAAGAGAGAGAGAAAAGAAGAGAAAGAGAAAGAGAAAGAGAAAGAGAAAGAGAAAGAGAAAGAGAAAGAGAAAGAGAAAGAGAAAGAGAAAGAGAAAGAGGAAGAGAGAAAGAAGAGACAGACCAACATTCTGACTAGCAGCACTGTCACTAGAAGTGTAAGATTTACTATACTGATAAAACTAAAAATCCTTTCCAACACTGAAAATACATTTAAATAGCTAGACATTCCTTTGTGCAACCACATACGCAATCCTGATATCAAAAAACACAGCAAAGATAATACACTACCCTTTCTAAATCAATAACAAAAAAATTAAATGTCTTCAAAATGCAAATGGTTTCACAGGCAGGTAAAATGTCAAAATTTTTCAAATTATACATACTGAATATGTATAGTATGTTTGCATATTAATTTTGCCTCAATGAAACTGCTAAAAGAAACTAATATCTCATCAATATAAACAAATTACATCACTACAATGATCAAAAAGATCAGTATAATAATTTCTTCCAACATTTTCTATATTTTCTATTAAACTTACTTTTCCCTTGTAGACATTTTATTGTATTTTGCTCATTATCCTAAATTACCCAGCACTGAAAAACATTCTAAACAAGTTTTAATGAGCAGTGAAATTTTCTGCAGCTATTCAAATGACCAATCATTACACTCTGGAATACACCTTTTAATGATTTAAATCATAAACTAAAAACATTCCTTAATGATCTCATTTCCTTTTCCCCAGTTACAGAAATTCATTTCCAAGCCACACCTATCTCCATGCTACCTTTTCAGAATTCAGGGTTAGTTTTCTTCCTTTATTCCTTATCATAAGGCTATGGGAAAGAACAAAAAAAAACCCCATTAAGACTAACTACTCACATCAGATTTAGAGGACATATTCTCCTCCACGTCTGAATCATTGGGATCCACAATATCATCAAATGGTGGTAAAGTTGATTTTTTCTTCTCTGATATCTCACTTTCAACTTTGACCTTTCCCATCTTGACATGAGATTTATCTTTTATCTGTTTTTTATCAGCAGAACAAGTGAGTATCAGTGGTGGTGCGCTAGAAAAACTTTTAAATAAAGCCTCTGAGCTACTCTTTTTCCTTTTTTTGGCCGAGAGTTCTTCAGAATCTGAAATAGGGGGCCTCTTACTAGGAGCCTTCTTATCTTGCTGTCCACTGGTGATGGTGAGTAAGTTACTGTCTGGTTTTGGCTCTTTTGACATGGGTTTAGGTTCCTTGAAGGCCATTTTAGGAACTATTTTCTCTTCTTTCAGTGGTTTATTTTCTTTGGGTTTCTTAGAGGATTCTTTGGAAGATTTGTTGTGATCCCTGGAAGGTTCTTTGAAGGCACTTTTATGTTCTCTGGAGTCTTTAGAAGGTTTTTCCTTGTGCTCCTTCATTAATTTGTGAGGCTTTGAAAAACTGGTACTGCTGCTGCTGCTACTGCTGCTGCTGCTGCTGCTGCTGCTACTGCTGCTGCTGCTACTGCTGCTGCTGCTGCTGCTGCTGCTGCTGCTACTGCTGCTGCTGCTGCTGCTGCTACTGCTGCTGCTGCTGCTGCTGCTGCTACTGCTGCTGCTGCTGGTATGAATACTCCTATTAGGGTCCTGCAGAAAGGGGAGAAGAAAATAAACTCTCAAAACTAAATAGGAACAAAGACTCAAAAAGCAATTTTCTTGAGTTTGATATACATAAAATGATCCTCCTTTGACTGCTCTCAAGTTAGCTCTAAATACCAAAAAAATTTTAATGCAAATCAACCATCAGAGAATAAAAGATTGGAAAAATCCATGTGAAAAATAGGGAGAGAAGGTAACTATGATCAAAGAATTTAATGAGGCAAGCTATATTCTTCATCACTGGAAGCAAGGACTTCTAAAACATTTCAAAGCAATAAATGTTAACTGTAACCTTGTCCTGGAAGATACAAAGATGGATAATATACGGTCCCACTCTTAATAATTATAACCTATCAATGACTGATGGTTGTTGAACGAGGCACCTATAAAGTGCTATGACAATAAAAGAAAGGGGACTGTGCAGTTCTGTTAAGAGGAAAGGATAATTCAGAAATTTATTTAATAAAGAGCTAACAGGTCAGTTTGGTCCCAGAGGACAAGCAGATAATTACTAGAAGAAGAACAAAATGATAGAGACCAGAGACCAGACTAAACTAAACTAAGGGAGCAAATCACGGAGTGTGTTTGAGGAGCAGCACAAGACTGAGAAGAAGGTGGGAAAATGTCTCAGGGATCACCTAGTAAAGTCAGGTTACATTAAATTTAAAATGAATTTGCAATATTAAAACTCCACAGAACCTTAAAAGAAATAATTTCCATTTTGGGATTTTAAAAAACAATTTTTATTCTGCTTAAAATTTCATCAGCTAAGGAATATGTCTCTAATAGGGGCAAAGAAAAGGACTATAACATAACAAAATTTCACCTAAACATCAAACAGGCTGAAGCCATTAACAATTACTGTGTGTATTCATAAAAAAAGAGGTAATTGCTATTTCATTTTATTATCAATTTTTTCACTCAGAATATATAACCTCTACATACGTTTCTGTTTAGGAATAAAATCTAAGTCCACACTTACCATATTTGTGAACCTCTGCCATTAACAGTAAGAATAAGAAAAAGAAGTAAATCCCAGACATGTAAAAGCTTCAAGCTAATACTAAAAGAAAGGCTTTTTTTTTTTTTTTTTTTTACTGATTTCCATCTTCTAATAAACCAAAGACAAATAAATGTCCTAAATTTCAACTAGAATTTACATCACTAGGCTTGCCTTTTTTTTTTCAGTCAGGGTCTTGCTATGTAGTTCAGGCAGGCCTTAAATTCACTATGCAATGAAATTGGCCCTGAACTCACAGCAGTTGTCCTGCCTCAGCCTCCCAGATGCTGAGCTGCAGGAATGTGCCACCATGTATAGCTTATTTTTCACATCTAACTCACCCACTTAAGCCCAAGAAAATACAAACCAATCCTATATGCAACATTTATTTTTCTCATGGGAGTACATGGTTTCGAACTTCTAAAATGAATAAAGTTACTAAGCAAAGATTTGCTTTTATGCACTAAATGATTCCTTACATAATATGTGAAGCTGAGATTTAAAAACAGAATGCTTTAAAAATAGAATTCATATTACTGAAATGTCATTATTTTATAAATTCTATTTAAGACATTTCCTGGAATGTTATGCTATTTCTATGAATAATTAAAATACAGTATAATGGACAAACTAAATTAGGAAAGAACGTTTTGAAATCTAATATCCTTGAGTATTTTTTAAATTGGTTTGTTGACTCACTGAATTTTGGCCATTTGCAATCAGTATTCTAATAATGGCTTCAGAACATCCAAGTATTGCTGTTTAACGTTCAACCTACATGAAGTATTGCAAATATTTTTTATAAAGGAAGGTTAAAAAACATACAATTATAAAATTGCCAACATATTTCTAATGTTAAGAATGAAAAACACTAACATTTCAGCAGCAGGGTGGAGGGAGCACAACAGAGGACTTTCCATGACTTCTTTTCAACATCCTTCTGTAGAACAAACTGGAATTCTTAATATAAGAGACACAGGGGCATCTGAATCTTATCTCATAATCTTGTCAGAAGTCTAAATTCTTGTCTTAATTATATATATAAAATAATCTGGGTATAAAGTTGTAGAAATGTAAGTTTTCATAATTTTTTAGCTCTTACATGTAAGCACTTAGTATTACCTTTTCACTACTTAACAAATCTTGCTTCGAGGAAGTGGCCCGATCATTTTTGTTTCTTCTCCTCTTATAAGCTTTCTTTAAGCTAAGAGAACTCAACAGCTCTTAATAAGCTAAGAGGACAAACACATTCCATAACAAATGTTGTAGCCAACTAAAACTGAGAAATGTAGGAAAAAAGTAGAGAATGGTTCCTATTATGTAGGGGAGCAGTTTCTTTGCTGGGTCTGTGATAAATGACAAAGTTTAAATACAAGGCATCAGGAACTATATTCATACATGTAATAAATGTAAAACAGTGGCTCAGATACACAATCAAGCATTAAGTTGCTACTCTAACATAGAATAAAAGCTTTCACTGATTCACAGCTTATCTATCATGCGCATACATACACAGGGTTCAGTCAGTGGCTTTTCAAACTTCCTACGGAACCATTAACCTCAACATTAAGTGTCACTAGGTAGCACACACTAATTACCATCCAACATGAAGTTTACTTTACACACACTGTGTAATTCAAATTCTCTTTGCCTGAGGCTTACTGGGACAAACTGAACATCACGTAATCCAGCCAAAGGCAGCATGTGTGCATAATTCAACTCTCAAATATTTAAATGGCTATTTACACATAAATATATATATATATATATATTTGCATTAACTTTACAACCTGAGAATACAAGGTACAGCATTTTTTTTTCCATCCATTCACAATTGTACTGAAGACTTCCTTGTTTTAATTTTCTGGAACAGAATGGGTCTCTTTAATATATAATCTCTTCTAGTACTACTTGTCAGCAACTCCGGTAGATGGCTTAAGAAAAGGAGAAGTTGTAATTACCAGCCAGAGAAAGTTTTCTGATTATATGTGGCTTCCAATTTCCAAGTTATCTCCATGTCTACTTGCACTAACTCCAAGCTGATTTTTCAACTGCTGTTTCTTTCCTCTCTCTCAGATCAATCATATTTTGTTCACTAGAGCTTCAAGCTAGACCCAAAGGAGTTTAACTTATAGATAGCTGCACAGGTGTGTCAGGCTCCCTGGCCTCAACAGCACTCAATAAAAGGGAGATTGCACTCTTCTCTGGGGCTAGGGAAAGCAAGACTCGAGTGACGGAAGGCAAAGAGTATGCCAGGTAGGTGGCTAAAAATAGACAACATGTCTGCTGCTACCATGCAGGCTGAGCTACAATGCACATACAAACAACATGCCTAAGGGAAGGAGGAAATAGGAAGGAAGAGAACTAACAGATCTTCTGACGAAGTCAGAAAACAATTTGAGGTCAAAAACAGTATGAATACCTCAGGAGAATCAATTAGAACATAGAAAAAATATTAATTAGGTTAAAATTCAAAAGTTAAAATTCTTGCTGAGAATTGGCTAGATAAAGGAAAGGATAGAGAACAATTGGCAGTTTGAAAGACCAGTTGTAAGAAAGCTCAAAGGATAAAGTAAAAAATACATGAGATGAAACTCCTAATGGGAAAAGAGGAGCGCTGAAGAACTTAGGGGTGACTTAGTAAAGGCCACAGGAAGTGTTCCAGAAGAGTTCACCAAAGGAGAAAACAGAAGAAAGAGAAGAGGCAACCAAGATAGTGACACAGAAGAAAATTTCCATGAGCCAAAAGCAAAGACCAAAACGCAATTTCCCAGGGATTACCTAAGATCCAGGCGGGGCTAACAACAAAAGATACACTGAACAAACACTGCATTAAACTTGCTAAACTTTAGGAATAAAAAGAAAAACTGACAAGTTAACAGAAAAAATTACTTTAAAAATGAAAAGAATCAAATTAACATTAGTGTTTTCGTTTGTAACACTGGAATCTAGAACAAAGAACAACAGTATCTAAAGATGGCTGGGAGAAAAAGTAGTACAATAGTCCCCCATTATTCACAGAGGATAGATTCCATGATCCCAATGGATCCCATAAAATAGAATTATAATACATAGTATTAAAAATTATGATTTGTTTATTTTTGGAATTTTCCACTTGGTATGTTTTGGCCATTGTCAGTCATAGGTAACTGAAACCACAGACAGCAATACTATAGGTAAGGGAGAACTAACTACTGCACAGCTCCAACATCCTTCACATGGTTAGTGAGAAAGACGTGTTCACGAAAATTTACATATTGAGAAAGCACATTGCCTGCTGTCTCACTTAAGTAAAGGACTTCAAAAAGGAATCCTAGCCAAACAATAATCACAGCAAAAGAGTCCATTAGTGCAAGCGGATAGAGGAAAAAAAACAGTACTACAATATACCTTACATTCTGTAGAGAATGAAATCTAAATGGACAATAAATACATGAATAAATAATGAGTGCTTAATATACACTCCTGACACAAGAAAGTCTAACAGAAATCTGGGCCTCCAAAACTCAATAATCTTCACAGAAATTTAGAAATGGTAGAGAAGAATGTCAAGGTGAAAATTCTGGTGTCTTTTCATGTTAAGATGGAAGAAGAACTGAATTACAAACAATTTAAAGGAAAGGCAGGAAACAAAATAGAAAAGTACAGAATAACTCACATCAATGAAGGGAAATGGGAAACTGGAATCAATTTGAAAATACAAGCAGAACCAAGAAAAATGAAAGAAGTGACAAATATAGACAATGAAAAGATAAAAGAAACAAAAAGAAGTATCACTCAGAATAAAAATGAAAAAGCCAGATTTTTCCACTGAAAGATAGTGTCACACTAAGCAAGAAAGACAGATCAGGTACTGACTGCTTGCAAGAAACACAAAAGTCAAATGACTGAAGATGAGTTTAACAGAAAGGGATGAGTCAAAAGGTACCAGCAAAGCGTTCCCCCAAGAAAACACTGTCAGATAATGTTAAATTCAAGGGTAGATGCA